ACACAGTTCCATGTAATCGGTTCCCTCTTTCCTACCCATTCTCCCTTTACCCTCCCTGTTTTGCCACTCACACCACTGGTCCTATAGGGCTCATCCGTCAACAGATAAGGACATTTAAAGTGGTTCCTTTTAGCAATAATTCAGTGAGCAACTTTGGAGTCTTCCCTAGGCTCCTGGTCACGTGAAAGGTTCTGGTGAGAACCGAACGACCAAACTCTGCCGCGGAGTCACTCCCCATTCTAGTGAGCCCACAGGACAGGGTAGAGCTGCCCCTGTCGGTTTCCACGGCCATCACCCTGATGGCAGTATAGTCATCTTTCACCATAGGCACAGCTGATTGGTTCGAGGTGGTTACCTTGTGGTTAGTAGACAAGTCTGTAACCACTGTGCCACCGTGGCTGCTCTCTGGGGACATAGATAAGTGGGAAGATGTGGGTTCATTAGCCCAAACGGCTCAGTCTCCTAGGAGAGCCGAGCTAGATAACAGAATGTGAGTGAATATGCAGGAGTGGAATTCTAGTCAAGGAAGAGAAGTTGTTCGGAGAAGAGTTACTTCTGCCTGTTCAGTGGAGGGCAGGGGAGGCAGGCATTGCAGTACGTGGGTTGCAGTCCAGATAGACTCTGAAGGAGAGAGAAGGGAGGAGACAGTTATATCAGACTGGGATGTTATCAGCATCTGGCAGCTGTAAACATGCTGTTATTTCAGAAGCTTGAGTTGCATATGCTTATGCATATGAAGCCGAATGTTTCATGTAATTTGTTAAAATAATACAACAGACGGAGAGGTTTTGTGTTTATTTGAGTGTTTAGTATTATCTATCATTTGAAAGATACTAAGTGGGCACCTGAAAAATGTTCCTGAAAAAAAAATTAGCACTGTCCCCTCCCACAACTTTCTCTTGTGCTTTGCAGCTTGTGAGTCTGCTGCTCATCGGCATTGCCGCATGGGGCATTGGCTTCGGGCTGATTTCCAGTCTCCGAGTGGTCGGCGTGGTCATCGCAGTGGGCATCTTCCTGTTCCTGATTGCTTTAGTCGGGCTGATTGGAGCCGTGAAGCACCATCAGGTGTTGCTGTTTTTTGTATCCTTGTGATGTAGTATTTACTGCACTGGGCATGAGCTCTTATTTGCTGTTGATTGCCATTTAATTAGCTACTATTAATTTAAAATCATGATTAGGAAATTAAGTGCCAGAGAGCAACTCCTGGAAAGCCTTGTCATGCGTTCAACATAGAAAAGTCTCTGAGAGTCAGGCTATTGTGGGTTTACATCGTTCTTTTTTGTTGTTCATTTGTTTGGCCTTTCAAGATTATAATCTCCAAGTTCAATAGACCAATTTATGCATGCAAATTCAGAATACCAGTGAATTGCTTCAGTGGCCATTGGCACCTTGACTGCAGATTAATAGTTGACTGAAGATTTTATAATGGATTTTGGGTTTAATCTTAAGAAAGCTAACATACACTTATCTGTATGTACTTCCTATTTTACTCATTCTAAATAAAATTTGAGCAGATCTGCTGTTGATAAGTGATTACAATTTGTATTTCTATATATGTCGTATCTACACTGCATTAGCAAAGTAATAAGTAGGTATATTTCTTTGGAAAGTTATCAGTGTCTCTGCTTTATGTAATTTTAAAAGTACTTAGTATATCCTTAACTTTTAATTCTCAGTACATGATAATCCTCTTGCTTGTATTTATTGTTCAACTTTCTGTGTCCTGTGCTTGTTTAACCCTGAACCAAGACCAACAGGTAAGAAAAGACATTTTCCTTCTACTGTATGACACCACATACTATGAACAGAGCAAGGGGAGGCGGAATGATTGGAATCCAGAGTAATTTCCCATTGTTCAGAATGCCATGTTCACTCAAAGCACTGGGTTCCCTTTTTGATCTCTTAAAAGATATGCCCCAGGCTTCTCCCACCATCATACAACACAATGTTTGCTCTGGGAAGGTCTATGGTTCCATTTTAACAAGTAACAGTTTCAAAGTACATAATTTGTGAGAAAATGGAACTTTTATCTTGGAGCAATAGAATTTTATCTTCTCATATTCTTGAGACGTTTGTCTCTGAACCAAGTTCTTCTTTCAAATTGCATTTAACAATGGAGACTTTTCATTCTTGAGACAGAAGCAGTGCCTTCATTTTCATTGAAGGATGAGTAATAAACTTTGAAAAGATTTAGTGGTCTTGTAAAGAATATTTATTTTAGGTCTGCTCAGTTCTTAAAAAATATCATAAGCTCTAACTTTATGTATTTCATGTAGGATGACATTTTAATGTAAATAATACATGCCTTATATAGGGTCAGCTTCTGGAAGTTGGTTGGAATAATACAGCAAGTGCTCGAAATGACATCCAGAGAAATTTAAACTGCTGCGGGTTCCGAAGTTATAACCGAAATGACACCTGTTTGGCTGTAAGTCAAAGTATAAAATAATTATTAAAGATGCATTGTGGATAGGTGGTTAATGATTAACCTGGGAGAAATGGACTTTCTAATGCTGAATTGCATTCTATTTCCATGTACACAATTGAGCGTCAGAGATCTACTCCCAAGAATGCTAGATATTTCAGGATCCTGATGAACACACGTGCTTCTAATTATTGAATTATAGCCCCTGGCTTCTTCCAATTTTACCCTAACTCTTAGAATAATCTGTAAAAGAGAAATAGCTGCACATTAGCCTTAGTGATTCAGAGAAGGTATCTAAATATCTTGGTTTAAACCATATCGAGGTGCTAGGAAGATCATGATTTATACCAAGCTGAGCTTCTTAACCCAGGCTCGAGGATATGCAAGACTCTCTCCCACCCTGTAAAAATGACTTGGTGGGGCACTGACCTCCTCTAACTTCATGAGGAGGGAGATGAGTCACTGCCAGTGTCAGCCCAGAGCTTCTCACCAACCTTCTACCACTTCTGACACCAGCTGTCTCTTTCACGACTCTATTCTCTGATGAATTTGATAACTGTTGAAATTGGTGCAGGATTGGGAATGGCTCGGGATACAGTTCTTCAGCCAGGACATTTTGTTTATAGCCACAGGCAGTCCTCTCCCTGGCCTTTGGGCTCTAGGTCCTCACTGGGTGCCCTGCTGGGCTGGCTTCTGCCCTGCTCCAGCGCATATTCAACGTTCTCTCACGACTGATAAGGTCCCAAAGGCACTCTTCTCTGGCCGTAAGCTTTGGCCCAAAAGTACTCAACTCTTTTAGTCATGGGTTAGAAGGCCTAGCTCTATCAATTGCCCGACACACTCCACTCTGTCAGCAAACCTTCTGCCTGAAGGTGCTCAGCTTTCTAGCTTTGTGGACCAGGACGTCCACTGCGCTCTCTCTCTCTTGCGGGTCTTCTGGTGCTGCTCCTGAAGTTTTGTGTTGTACATGCTGCTGCTGAGTCTCACCATCATGCAGCATGTTTGGTAAGTTACAGCTCTTCCTCCCTCCTGTATCTCTCAGGTTCTGGGTGAGGGACCCTGGATCTAAAGGGCACTCATTGCTCTTCTCTCCTTACAGTAGTGAGGTGTTCCCCCCACCCCCAAAATTGGCTTTCTTTTTTTTAAGCACAGGGGATAGGAAAATGGATTGATTCCCTCTGTAGAGTTTGGTACACCATATTTACATGGCCCCACCTCCACAGGGGTTTCATGTACCTTATTTGCATTCCTAGGGCTGTTCAGTTCCCTTTGTTGGCCACAGACACCATATTTGCCTAACTATACCCAGTCACTGGGAAGGACTCACAGAGTGTTTCCACCCAGTGCCCCTCAGTTAATGTAGGTTCATAGTGACCCTATAGGACAGGGGAGAACTGTTACTTGTGCTTCCGAAGCTGTAAATCTTTATGGGAACAGAGAGCCTCATCTTTCTTCTGTTGAGCAGCTGGGGTACTTGAACTGCTGATCTTGTGACTCATAACCCAACCCATAACCCACCAGGGCTCCGAAAGAATGTGGTTAGGAAGGCTATAGTAAGTATTTCACAGCATACCTGGTCAAACACAACCTCTTATCCTTTCGCTTTGGGAGCTCACCTAGATGTAATATCAGTTACAGGAATCTCTGTCAGGCTCTGACCTCCCAGTTCTCAGCAGGACATGTGAAGGTGACCTCGGGCTTGGCCTGTGGGGAAGTTCTCACAGGTTTAGAGTGTGAGGAAGTGCCTGTGCGTAGCTCTCGAACCTCAGCTGGAAAGTCCCTCAGTCTGAAGCTGCTCTTGTGGCATTTCTCTCTGTGTGTTGATACTGAAAAACCAAACCCACAGTCACCAAGTTGATTTGACTCACAGTGACCCTAGAAGGCCAACTAGAATTGCTGCCAGTAGAGTTTCTAAGACTGCATTTTTGTAGGAGCAGACAGCCTGATGGTGGTCCTGTGGGGTGGCTGATAGTACTTGAACCACCAACCTCGCAGTTTAGTAGCCGATTGTTTAACCCCCTGTGCCACCAGGGCTGTTTTTCTTCTTGGTATAGAGGTCCGTCTTGGTTTTGTCTTGCTATGTAACCAAGTGTAACACCTGTGTAACACAAACTTAGTGGCTTAAAACAACATTTGTTTATTTTCTCATGGTTCCCGTGGATCCTGAGTCCGGTTATGGGGTAGCTAGTGGTTCTCTCTGCTCAGGGCCTCACCAGCTTGAAATCCAGTTGCTGACTGTGGGACTGCAGTGACCTCTGAGACGGAGGACCTCCTTCCACACTCACTGCTTGTGGATAGAACTCAGTTCATGTGCGTGTAGAACCACTGCTCAGCTTCCAGAGACTGCTTTTAGTTCCTAACTGCAGGCCCTCTTAGATCCACCTGGACAAAGCCAGGGTGAAGATCTCTCCCCAGTCTGCTAGCATGAAATCAGGAGAGATTATCCCATCAGTCACGAGACTTACCTACATGCAAGTGAGGAATTATGGAAGTTCTAAAGGGAACACTGGCTAAATATCGGACCATAAACCACAAGGTTGGCAGTTCAAATCCACCCACTGCTGCCTGGCAGAAAGAAGAGGCTATCTATTCCTGTAAGGATTTACTGCTTTGGAAACCCTATCTAGGGTCACGATGAGTCAGAATTGACTTAATGGCCGTGGATTTTGTTTTGTTTCTGTGGGGGTGGAGCGGATCTTGAGGACAGTCTCAGAATGCTGTGTACCACAGGACTCTCAGTGCAGACCAAAGAACTTAGGTCCCAAATTGGAATTACTACCTCCAGACACTATTAAAATTAATAAAATTTCTTTAATTTTTATATGCTTATCATAAATGTACATTGAAGTAGAAATCCTCTTCTTTAATTGATACAGAACTGTGCTGAAAGTGGCCACCCCTGCTCACCGTGTGCTCCAATAATAGAAGAATATGCCGGGGAAGTTTTGCGATTCGTTGGTGGCATTGGGCTCTTCTTCAGTTTTACGGAGGTAGGCGAGAATGACGGACGTTTGCCTGCCTTTGTGATAGGACCCCTGTTTATATAGGACATGATGTCTCACACAGCAGGGCACTGGTGTGTGTCTGGGTAGACTAGAGAAACAAATCCATGGACATAACATACATGTATAGGAAAGAGATTTATATACAAGAGCAATTGAACATTGAGGAAATATCCTAGTCCAGTCCAGACGAAGTCCATTAATTTGATATTAGCCCATATGCCCCATACCAATCTATAAAGTCCCCTTCAGACTCAGGAAACACATGCAATGACACTGAATGTAGAAGCTCGCAGGCCAGTGGGTAGAAAGTCTTTGGATCCAGTGGCATTGGAAACATCTCAACGCGGGCAGGGTCTCTGCATGGCTTCTCCAGCACCCAGGACTTCATCAGGGTGGGTCCATGTGTCTTGTCAGCTGCTATGTCTCCCACGGAGTAGCAGAGAGAGAGAGGTGTCTTTCACCTCCAAGCAGGAAGTACCAGATTTCCTAGATTTCTCAGGAGAAGGCCATGCCCACACAGAAGCCCCATTGGCTATGATCCGATTGACAGACTAGACTCGGGGGACTAGACTTCACGCATGATCCTCTCAAATCGACAATTATATAGCTACCACAGCACTCCAGCAGTGGAATGTATCAATAGATACTTCCATTGAGAATTAACTATTCCAGGGCTGGGAATCTACTTCTAAGTCTAGCATTAACTTTGTAACAATATGAAATGCTTTATCAATTCCCCTTTTTGTAAAATACAAGCATGGATACAATGAGGAAGTTAGACTGGATTATTTTTTAGATCTCTTCTAGTTCTCTGGTAAATGATGGTTTAGTTCATGCGAGTTGGGAACCCAAGTGTTTAAACACTTGGCTGCCAGCCAGAAGGTTGGTGGTTGATGAAAACCACCAGCCACTCTGAGGGAAGAAAGATTAATGTCAGCCCGCTTCTGTGCAGATTGCAATTTTGGAAGCCGTGGGACTAGTCTATTCTAGTCTCTCCGGTAGGGTTGCACTGAGGCACAGTGAGCTCCACAGCATAACGGGTGTTTTGCTAAATTAAACATTTACAATTTAATTTTAGACTAGGTGGGGCATTCATATTACTTACTTGTGTAATACTTCCATATATTAATGAAACATGCACAAATATAGCAGAAAGGTCAGTGTTTCAAACCTACTAGGTGCTCCCTGGAGAAGAATGTGGCAGTCTGCTTTGGTAAAAACGGACAGCTTTGGAAACCCTGCAGCACAGGCGCACTGCGAGTCAGAGTTGAGTTATATTGCACATGCATACATTTTCTTATAAAGATTCCATGGAGTAGCTTAAGGCTTGGGAATATATGCAGGAAGCACAGCACAGGGCTGGGCGTGATGAGGGGCTGTCTCATACACCCCGGCCCCACCCCTTTGGGTTCTCCTTTCTTGTCCTTTTTACATCGTCCTCTGTCTCCATCTTTCCCCTCCCACTCTTCTCCTTCTTCAGCTTTTGCACACTCTCATTCTTTGCACTGCTTCAATATTGCTCTCTCTAATTTAGAATAGATCTTACTTTCCGTCTACTGGTTTTTGTACTGTGTCATTTATTTTATGTTTAGAAAGCCCATTCTCATCCCAGTGTGTGTATATCCACACACACACACATACACATACAAGGCAACTTCAGAAACTTCACGGAATTAAAAAAAGGAATGAGAATTTTCTACAAGGTTTTTGAAGCTCCTTCATATCAACATCTGATGTAATGAATACATACTGTATTCTATAAATAATATTCTATAATATAATAGTATGTATTCTATATTATATACATATGCATAGGCATTATATTTTATTCTAATTCTTTTTTTCTTTTTCCCTGACTTCTCTTCCTACTTTGACATTTTTCATTTTGTATTCTTAGGAAATGCTGACTTACTTTGTGAGTTGGTTGCAGCACACTGATTTGTATTCTAAGGGAATTCTTCCAAAGAGTGCTACGCATCTTTCTGTACTTAACAACCATGTATGCTTCTTTTCTCAGGAAGATCCGTGATTTCTATTTTGACATATTTTATTTTTGTCTTTTCCAGACTTAATATTTCACTACATTCACATTTCTGAGATATGAATTACACTCTGTTGACCTGCTGCACATTGGGCTTAAGCTTCTGGAACCAATAGATAGTTTCTGTTTATGTCTAGTCAGAGTTTTAAAACCTACATCTTTTTTTTTCCCTACTTGTATTTTCCTTCTTATATTCATTATTAGCTCCTCATTTCCCTCCAGCCTCCCCTCCTGTATCCCCAATAATCCTTTATACCAGTTAACTATTTCTATAGATTTGTCTATATCCTGAATTTCATATATTGGAAAACATACCAGAAAAACCAAAACATCAACAACAACAACAAAATATATATACTTATATATATTACCAACAACAATATTAAAATAAGCCAGATGGGAAAAAAAAATCCACAATCAAGAAAAAAAAACAAGAAATACAAAAACCCAGAACAAATTTAAAGTAGATCAAAAAGGAGACCAAATATCAGAGATTACATCTGCCATAATATAGCAAGGTTACTCACAATCCTGGACTGTGGCCAGTCGGGATGCACCAGGAGTTTAATCCATGTAGGGGCCCTGATCATTGATTTTGGGCTCCCATTGCCCTTCATTGCTAGTTGCAAATTGAGAGTTCATAATGTAAGTTCATCATGTAATACCATTTCCTTCTTTGGGTTTAGATTTTATTATTTATCATCCTTCCATCTTCCATGCCCAGACTTAGTTGATGCCTCACTTAGATACTGCTTGTTTGAAGATCACCCTTTAAGACCCAAGATGCTATTCTTTTCTTTTTTTTTTGAGATGCTATTCTGTTTGATAGCTGGGTACCATCCGCTCTCTTCATCACACCTCACTGTAGCACCCATATCCTCAGTAATCTCTTCATGAAAATCTTCTAAGTCTTGAGTCTCTTTGTAATCTTAAAATGTAATTGCTTGTTTTGTTTTACATTTTCAATGTGAGGGAAGAGTTAGACAATGGTTTCCTCTTTTTGTCATTTACAGCTGAATTTAAATAATTCGATATTGGTAATATATCACTGTAGATTATGAGTATTTAATTTACCTAAGCGCTTGATTTCCTTATGACTTATATGTACGTTGACATTCATGTACATGCACACTGTGGAGGGATAACAGTGCACATGAAAAAGTCTGCCTTGAAGCTTCGTATGTTGCAGCGTTTCTGAAGGGAGGTTCAGGACATGACTCTTGAGCAGTTGGTGGGGATCTGAAGGCGGACGGGGATGGCTTACAGAAGTACCTGTGTAGCAGCATGTGTGGAGCTCAGTGTGGTGCCAATCACCAGGACTGAGGCGAGGGGTGAATGTCAGCATGACACCAGCCAGTGACACATTGGATCATCACATCCGGGAATATAGACAAAAGGGATTAGGAATAAGTTCACACTTTAATCTACAGCTCACACACTATTTTAAATATCAGCCACAGGGACCTCTGGTGGCCAGCGGGTCACATATAAGCCTGCTAACCCACAAGGTCATTGATTCAAATGCACCAGGTAATCCACAGGAGAAAGATGAGGCTTTTTGCTCCTGTAAAAATTTATAATCTCAGAAACCCACAGGGGCAGTTCTTGTATATGCCTGTCACACAGTACAGTGTAAGTCTTTGTTAAATGAATCCCCTTTCCTTCCCTGCACATGTATTTCCAAGGATGATTTCTCCTTCCTAAAATTAGGCTGACTTCAAATTAGGCTTACTATTTTTAATTTGACTCTCAAACCACAATTTTTTTCAATGTGCATGTTCACTATAAATATTGTCAGTTATTATTATGGTCAATGGAGAAAGTTATGACTTACTCTAAATTTTCTACAAGTAATTAAATGGCTAGTGGTGGATAAGAAATCAAATGAACAAAATTCAGATTAACACACAACAAATATCTAGAGTAGAAAAATCACATGAAATTAATTTTGTACTATTAGGATTTTGTACCTTTTTCTACAAATTTAGAATTTCTTAAAAGGCACCTTTAAAATAGCAGTAGCAGGAAGAACACGTATCTGAAAACGTAGGCTATGTTGATTAACTTTTCCTCATAAACCCAATATGGAAATGGTACAATAACAACTTGTCTTTATTGTTAAATTATAGAGTTTTACCCCTTTAGAGAGGCATGGAAGTACAACATTTTTAATTGTCTGTGTTGGTAAATTGATTTAGTAACAGTGTCTTTGCTGTCGCATGAATTTTGTGATCACATTTGTTTCTGAATTTTCCAAATATATGATAGTTTAACTATCCAGACCATTCAGTTTTTGTATCAATTTCCTGATGCTACTGTAAAGTTCACAACTTGAAGAACGACAATTATTTTTTACCCTTCTAGAAATCAGAAGTCTGAATGGGCTCCAAGCCTGTGTTTCTTCCAGAGACCCTGAAAGGAACCTGCTTCCCTGGTCTTTCCCAGTGTCCAGAGGCCACTTTCATTCTTCGGTTCATGACCACGTTCTTCATCTCCAACGCCAGCAGCATAGTAGCTTCTTTCTCAGCATCACTGGCTTGCTGTCTCTGACTTCGACCCTCCTTCCTCTTCTTATCCCATCACTGGTGTCACCTGGATTAGTTAACCTGCTTTCTCCCTCACAGCACCCTTAACTTAATTAGATCTGCAGAGTCCCTTTTGCAATGTAACACTTGTAGGTTCTGGAGATTAGAACGTGGGTACTTTATTTTGGGGAGGGCGTGTCACAATTCAGCCTCGCACAGTGTTCATATTAATTTATTTCCTCAGGCCTCTCCTATGGTCTATTCACTGCATTCCAAAAAGCAAAAATAAGCCTCTCTCCTTGAACAAATAGTACAAAGTGCTCCAGATTACCTACCTGATAAATGACACCTTACTGAATAAATGACACGGTTGCTATTTCCTCTACTCATTTCTCCTCTCCTCTTTCCATTTTAGATCTTGGGCGTTTGGCTGACCTACAGATACAGGAACCAGAAAGATCCCCGTGCTAATCCTAGTGCATTCCTTTGATAAGAAAAGGAGAATCAATCATTTTTTGATCTTGTTCAAGTTCAGTAACTGTTAAGTTAATTTGCCTGTTTAATTGAAACCATACCTGAAAACTACATTATTGACAATGGGATTATATTATTTTGGCTCTTAGGTGACTCATTTTTTTCCTTCCTTTTTCTGTTTCCATTGCTGAAAGAAAAAAAAAAAAGGAACTTGTGGTCTCCTCTGACCCTCAGTGGTACCTGTAACCTCCTGAATTCACAGTGTCTGCACTGTCCACTGTGGCCTTTCTTAGCATTTGTACCTGCAGAAAATCTTTGTATAGCACTATTATGTTAATCATATGTTGACTCTAAATACCTATTTCACTGGAATAATTTTCTTTAGCACTGTGCTGTGTAGATAGATCCTGCTGGAAAAAGAATTGAAGTCTATTAAACCCAGAAAGTTTGAAATTCTATTATGTTAGATTCCATAAGGGAAATCCAAATTGCCTGGGGTTTTTTCTGGTCTCCTAGACAAAGTGTGTTGTGGTGAAATTGGTTAGTATGAAAGTGATACTTTAGTTCTGGTATCTTTTATGATTACACTAATGTAGTGTAGAAATAGCTGTGTCTTTTAGAAAAGTGTTGGCTTCAAGTTTGGTCTTTAACAAGTCAGTGCAACAAAGAAAAATCTCATGTGTAACATTTACCTTCAGCCTTCAAAATAGATCATGTTTGTGTATTTCAGAAAGCATATATGACCCTGATTATTCTTTTATAATAATTTGAAGTCCAAATGATTGTATTTTTAAACATGTTACTATTAATATATGGGCCCATGTAGCAAAAAGATATTTGATTCTTAGAAATGGTTAAATATCCTTTTTCATGAAGTTTCTCAGTATTGTAACAATGATTTGTCAAATCTAAGCATATTTGAATGTGACTGTCCACAATTTGAAATAGTGTTGTGTATTAAGTTTAGCCATTAAAGAGTAGAAACCTTTCTTTATGTTTATGACTGTTTGACTTAAAAGAAGATGATGAAAGTTGATGTGCTAGTCTGGGTATTCTAGAGAAACAAATCCATAGCAACTCATGTATAAGAGGGAGTGCGCATAAAGATTAAGTGCGCATCAAAAAACATCCCAACCTGGGCGGATGAGCCCTACAGGACCAGTGGTGTGAGTGGCGAAACAGGGAGGGTAGAGGGAGAGTGGGTAGGAAAGAGGGAACCGATTACAAGGAACTATATGTGACCTCCTCCCTGGGGGACGGACAACCGAAAAGTGGGTAAAGGGAGACACGTCGGACAGGGCAAGATATGACAAAATAACAATTTATAGACTATCGAGGGCTCTTGAGGGAGGGGGGAGGGGGGGCGGAATGAGGACCTAATGCCGGGGGTTTTAAGTGGAGAGAAAATGTTTTGAGAATGATGAGGGCAATGAATGTACAAATGCGGTTTACACGGTTAATGTGTGTATGGATTGTGATAAGAGTTGTATGAGCCCCTAATAAAATGATTACAAAAACAAAAACATCCCAACCCAGTGCTGCCCAAGCCCATGAGTCCAACATTAATCCATTACCCATATGTCTAACACCAGTCCACAAAGTCCTCCTCCATCTCACAAAACAGACACAATGATGCTGACTGCAGGAGGAAAACCAAATCAGTGAAAGTGTAAGTATCTCAGCACTGGCAAGCGTCTCCACATGGCTGCTCCAGCACCCAGGGCCATATTGGATTGGGGTAGGTCTATGCAGCTTCTCCTTGGGGATGTCTTGCAGGAAGTCAGCCTTGCAAGCTGAAGCAGGGAACTGGCTAAGGCAGCTGCACCCTGGTCGGACCATCAGAAAGCAAGGGACCCGAGAACTCGAAAGGCGAGGCTAACCAAGCCATTTTCCCTCTGCCATTCAATTAACCCCATATGTGTTTATCGGCGAGGTTGGCACAATAAACTAACTTAGTTGATAAGTGAATTTGGTAAAATGGATCCCCCCCCCCTTTCTGATTTGAGTTCATATTGGCTTAGAGCTGGGTGTTTTCATTTTAAGGTGTAATAAGTATGGAACTAAACTTCCAGCACCAGTCTATTGCTAGTCACTCATATATCCTTTCACGAAATTAATTTTAAATTTCATTACTGTGCTGAGAAAGGTCCTTTGAAAGGGAAGTTATTTTTATTTATGTGTGGAAAATATGTAAGTTCATTTTTACTATAAAAATTAATTTATCATTTTGAATTTTGTGCAGTACATGATATTATTGGTAATATTCTTGATAGATTTTAGACAAAGCAGGTGAGTGGTTGATATATAAAATTTTGGGACATTTTAGGGGTATATGATTCTTGTGATTTTTGCAATACTAGCTAAGTATTAGCGTAATCTCCCAATTTGTATATTCTTGCGATGTTATTTTGAACTCTGGGCCACCTTAAGAATATTCTCACTTACACTATAAAATGATTACAGGTATCACATGAAGGAAAGAAGATTTCTGAATTTTGTCTTTGACTTAGACATTCTCTATTTTACCTGTTTGTTACTTTTATTTTTTTCCCTAAGGCTGTAATGGACCTATAAACAACATGAGGCTGAACTGCATAGGTCCAATTACACCTAGATTAAGAAACACAATGCTAATCATCTCCACGTGAGCAGTACAGTAAATTGTGTGCAGGAGTAACAAGTGGCCCCTTCGTGCTTCCCTATGAGCCCTTTGAAACTCAGTGACAGCGGGTGGTCTGGCTTGGGAGTGGTTCTCCACTGTCATTCACTAAGTACTCCCCAGAAACAGAGAAGCCAGGACAGGCCAAGAACGGTTGCTTGATATGTATTGTAAATTGAAATCTGCTGCAGTGGTTGCCCACGAATGCAGCTTAAGGCCTGTTGTGAAGAATGAACAGTGAGAGCCCTGGTGGGGCACTGGTTATGCATCTGGCCGCTAGCTGCTAGGTCAGCAGTTTAAAACACCAGCTTCTATTCCCAAAGGGTTATAGTCTCAGGATCCCACCCAGGGACAGTTCTACCCTGCTCTATGGGGTCACCAGGAGTCAGCTGTACCGGCATGTGTGAAAGAAAATCTTACTCTTTGCAAAATATCTATTTCCTCCATAATGAAACTGCTGCTTTTGTGTGGGTGCAGTGTTTAACACACATAAAATACAAAATTTGTATTCATCAATGGGAAGGCTTTTAGCTAACTGCAGGCCTGTTGGTAGTTAAGTTTTGAAGGAGTCAGAAGTTACACACTGATTTTCAGTTGTATGGGGGGAGGTGGAGGCCTTGTAGCTCAAGGGTCAACTTTACATGACAAAGCATGTGCCTTGTCAGCGTGATGCACTTCTCCAATGATTGCATCCATCATACTGTGTTTCGTGTTCTCACGAGAGGCTGGGATGTCTTCATAGGCCACTTTTCCTGATAGAAACGAGCATCTGTGTGGTGGGCTTTATTCTGACGGCTCACAAAACCTCATATGTAGCATGTACCTCCAGCCTTCAACATGGAGCCAGTTTGATTATTCTTTTATAATAAATTGAAGGCCAAAAGACTGCATTATAAATATGTTCACCAGAGAGAAGCATAGCCCTGGCTTGTGTACTCTGTTTCCATGGCCTTACCTAATGAGGTCACCCAAGTTAGCAGAGTCTGGAAAGGGCGGGTCTTTCGGCCTATGGAAATAACTGGAGTGTAAGAGTGGGTAATCACTGATGAGTAGCCACTAAAAACATATTTTCAAGCCCTTGGGCAGCCTTATCAAGCTCACCTGGACTTTCACTTCTCGGGGATATTTGAAGAGGGCAGATTCCCCAGGCCTGCTAGGAGGTCTTTGTGTCTGGGTACAGAGATGCAAACGGCTCCGATTTCACCATGTATCATAATGCCTGCTGCAGAGACTGCACGGGTTCTCCTGAATCCTAAATGGATCGCTTGACTAGCCATGGAGAGCATGCTGATCTGAGGGCTGTAAAGGAGGTTCTGCCCAGAGACGTGTTGAGGGGGAGAGAATATCAGATCAAGGTCTGCCCTTGAATTCCAGCATGGGGCTGTAAGGCAATTCCCATAACCTAGTGCTCATAAGCCTAGCACTTCTTTTAAAATGGAACTAAGCTACTTATTCCAGTTAGAAGGATGTTTTAGAACATTTGGTCAGTCAGTCTAGTTGCTAAGGGTGACATGTTAGCTATCAAATAAAATGTCAATACAAAATGGGAAAAATATGGCAGGCTCTAACTTCCAAAGTCTCGGCTCCTGTGGATGAAATGCATTGCAGATGCTTGGTTACAGAAGCCACAATGCCTTTGGTATGGAAACCAGTTCTGCATGTTCAACCTAAGGTGCTGAACAGATCCTTTCAGAGAAATAAGGGAAAGTGTGGCTTTTAGTTTTTAGTTTCCTTCAGCAAAAAACCCCATAAAAACCCTCAATTCCTCTTAAGATTTGTTTACAGTTTACGTTTATTCTTTTGAAAATACACTGAATAAACTGGAAAGTACCCTGTAGCTGGTACTAAATAAAGTTAACATTTCCTTTGTACATCATGTGTCACAGGATAAAAGAGAGTCCAGGTATTGTGATTGTGGAAAATATAATCACTCACATGTCTATTGTATTCTTTTATTAGAGATGGCCATAAAGTGAAAGGTCAACTCTTCCTGTTTTCTGGGTAATTGAGGGGATTTGTGTGAAGTTGGTTTGTGCTTGGTGTTTGGGAACTAGTATACCTGGATTCAAATGTAATTAGACTGTGTGGTGTTGGTAAAGGTTTTCTCAATAACTCTGAGGGAAATAACACTTCCCTTCAGTCTGTACCTCAATTCTACCAGTAGGAGAAAAAAGAGGAGGGAGGGAGGGAGATGGAACAGACAACAGAATTCTTAGTGCTGGACTTCTCGAATGTCAGATAAGAACAGGACAATTGTAGCTACTGAAATACATCTCCTGGGACAATAAGAAACAGACCCCCAAAAATAAAATTTCACGACCATGTATTCTTCTTGTCTTTTCTAATCTACTCTCTTGAGAAAAACCAGCTTTGGAATTCATCATCAGATGGATTAAAGAATTAAAATACATCAAATAACTGACCTCACTTAAAGAGTGCAACTACTTTTTCTGCTTTTAAGATCTTGCTTAATATAGACAGTTATGGTTACAATGTGCTGAGTGACTTTTAATAAGAGTAGCCACCACCAGCTCACTAGGGTTTCTGGGACAGTGACTGTTTAATGGCTGCAGGTTGCCAGATATTCTCCTGCCAAGCCAACTGTTGGGTTTGAACTGCTGACCCTTAGGCTAGGTGATCCACTGCTTAACTCACTGTGCCACCTGGGCTCCCCTTAATACATTTGGCTAAATTTATTTGGACTTTGATGTCTGGCTCCTGTTGAAGGAAAGTTCTACTCTTGCCTTAGAGTTTTTCTGTTCCTCTAAGTAGAGAGGTCTGAGGGGCCGGCCCCAATCCCAACTACATGGACAGCTGCCCCTCCCCCCAGAAGAATTCACTTCAGAGGGCAGCACTGAAGCTACAGCGCAGGGAGAGGGACATGTCTGATCAGAGCACACATGCGCAAATGAAGGGGAAGGAAGAGAGAGTGGAGCACATCTTGGCCCACCAAGCCTTGAGGACGATATCCCTGCTCAGCACAGCCAATGCACAGAGAGGACCATATGGCCGGCACCACTATGAGACACGACATCCCTCACTGACTCCATAGCCCTACAGGGGACAGCACTGGAGAATGTGGGAATTGCACCCGATCTGACCCCACCACACCAAGGATGTGCAGCAGAACAGCAAGGAGAGCAGAGCAATGAAGTCCAAAGGGAGTACCAAAAATAGACTCTGGGGCCAGGGCGTGGCACCCCATCAGACTCAACTGGAAAACACTCCTAAAGGTCAACATACTTTGAACTATTTACAGGCTTTTCTTTTTTTTTTTTTTTTTTTGTCATTGGTTTTTTTTGTTGTTGCTTTGTTTTGCTCTGTCTTTTTTGTGTGCATATTATTATCTCTACAGGTCTATCTAGGTAAGATAGGCTGGATAAACAATCTGGAGGAGAAATCAGTGGGACACATGGTTTGGTGGGGGTACAAGGAAGAGGGGGAGTTGGGGGAAAGGAAGTGGTATTAACGAACCAGGGACAAGGGAACAAGTGATCCAAAATCAGTGGCAAGGAGGATGAAAGAAGCCTAGTAGGGTGTGATCAAGGGCTATGTAACGGAGAGGAATTACTGAAACCCAAATAAAGGCTGCACATGATCGTGGGATAAGAGGAAAGTAAAAGTAAATAGAGGAAAGAACTAGGAGGCAAAGGGCATTTATAGAGGTCTAAATACAGGCATGTACATATGTTACTATATATATGATGATGGGGAAATAGATCTATGTGCATATATTGATAGGTTTAGTATTAAAGTAGCAGATGGACATTGGGCCTCCACTCAAGTAATCCCTCAATGCAAGAATACTTTGTTCTATTAACCTGGCATTGAATGATACTAATCTTCCCAACACAATCGCTGAAGACAAATGGGTACATAAGCAAATGTAGTGAAGAAAGCTGATGGTACTCTGCTATCAAAAGACACAGCATCCGGTCTTAAAGGCTTGAAGGTAAACAAGCAGCCATTTAGCTTAGAAGCAGCAAAACCCACATGGAAGAAGTACACCAGCCTGTATGGCCACAAGGTATCAAAAGGATCAGGTATCAGGCATCAAAGAACAAAAAATTCATATTGTGAATAAGGGGGAGTGAGGAGTGGGGACCCAAAGCCCATCTGTAGGCAACTGGACACCCCTTTACAGAAGGGTCTAGGGTAGGAGACAAGCCAGTCGGTGCAGTGTAGCAACGGTGATACATACAACTTTCCTCTAGTTTGTAAATGCTTCCCTCCCACTATCATGGTCCCAATTCTACCTTACAAATCTGGCTAGACCAGAGGATGTACACTGGTACAGATAGGAACTGGAAACAGGGAATCCAGAGTGAATGATCCCTTCAGGACCAGTGGTGAGAGTGGTGATACCGGGAGGGTGGGGAGGAAAGGGGGAACTGATGACAAGGATCTACATATAACGTCCTCCTGGGGAACGGACAACAGGAAAAGTGGGTGAAGGAAGATGTCAAACAGTGTAAGACATGACAAAATAATTTATAAATTATCAAGGATTCATGTGGGAAGGGGAAAGAATGAGGAGCTGATACCAAGGGCTCAAGTGGAAAACAAATGGAGAATGATGATGTAATAAATATACAAATGTGCTTGACACAATGGATGGATGTATGGATTGTGATAAGAGTTTTATGAGCCCCCAATAAAATGATTTTTTTTAAAAAAGCCAAGGAATGTTTTTACTTCAATTTATTTAAACAATGCAAGCTTGTGAGAGGACAATAAAGAGATTTTGTTCAACAGGCATTGTTAATATTCGGAAATTGTACTGGTAGCTTTTGTTTTCCAATCTGCATAGTTCCATGTTTGTATGCATCTGTGATATAGCATGGATTGGTTTTCAGGGACACTTTCTCCAAAATCACTACCATTATGTTGACAACATGTTGTACTTTTTGTTCTTATGCTCTATGACTATTATATCTGGAGGCTACTGATTTTTTAAAAATTACACATTTCAATGTTGTCATTGTTTTCTTCACAGAGGATTGTTGAGTGCCGTCCTTTGGGTAAAGTAGGAGCTGGGTCCGTCGGTTCACACCGGTGATGCTTGTTCTGTGTTGTTTAACAGTTCTGCGGGGAAACACCTTTCCCTTGCCACTTGGACATTCGATTTCCCCCAAAATTTATTTAGATTTCAAAAGTCTAGGTGGTGTTAAAATAACATTGTGTCATTGAATATGTTTTAACGGCTTGGCATTTTTTTCTCACATCAAACCTATTAAAAATAATTAGTATTTTGTTGTATTTATGTAGAGGTTATTCTAAATATATGCACATCGAGAGGAAGCCTCGTTTTTCTGCTCCTAAGCCTTCACCATGTTCTAAGTGCAGTATCTTGCCTTTTTTAGCAGTTACAGGTTATCTACTTCAGAAAAGGGAGTGGATTTCCTGACGATAATCCTGCTGTGGATTTGTCACTCAGTTAAAAATAGCATCTATGAATGCATACCTCGTCGCCCGTCAGTCCGTCCGTCCGCAGTGAGAGCTAGACGAGCATTGAAGACAAACCGCGCACCCGGCAATAAGTCCTAATGTCAGGGCGTACGCTCGGAAAGGGTCTAACCAAAGAAAGCGAAGACAAGCAAATGAGGAGCAACACTCCAGCCGACAAATGGATGCGACAGCCCTTCAGGGGCCGAGGACGTCACTGGGGCTGTGATTGAGTCCCATGGATCTGTGAGATGCCATACACGGGGCAGATGAACACACAGGCCATTGTTTTGTTAGGCATGATAGGTCATTAAAAGTAGCTGAAGGCACTTTAATGCTTTCTAGGCCACAGCCTTGCGAACTTTTCTGAATCTAGTGCCCTCTGAGGTCTGCTCATCACCATGGCGACATGACTTTCAGCCAGTCACATATTGACGAGGACGATGGAGCATTGAGGCCCTCCCTGTCTTCCGTTCGAATGGAGTTGATTCCTTGTTGGCAGCACAGAGCTTTGAGAGGCCGCACCTATTCTAAGGTAGGTCCTCAGTGGTGTGGGTGCAGATGTTACTGGGCTGACGCTCCCACTACTGGTTGGTCAGTCCACTGAAGTAGGCTACCAGCCAGAGGCTCTACCTGAGAGCAATAAGTGCTTGGTTGGGCAAAATCTAAGGAAAATTACATTCCTAGTTAGAGTGAGATGGAGTGTCTGGCTAGAGTGGAGAAGGGTTGTCTCCAAGGAGGTACTTGGTATTCTCCACATGCCTTTCTCAGGCTTTTATCTAAAGCATTTTGTTTGGCTCATGTCTGTCTCATGCCACACCCCCACCTCCCAGTTTTAAAGCTGGTCTACCTGCAGTGGAACATTGAGAAATTGTAGTGCGTTGAGATTGTAATTTTCCCTGCCTTCCTAGAGCATCCTGCATGTGTCCAACATTCATATTTGATGAAGAGAAAATAGAAAGATAACCTTTCTGTGAGAGACCAAGCTGGAACAAAAGAAAATGCTCAGTTTGAACACCCCAAAAAAGGATTTATTTTTTTAAAAATTATAACTCGTAGTATATATCGTTTTCATGTACACATACTGAAAACCAAATTAAAAACAAAATAACAAAATAGCTGTTACTACATTAACCTATAATCAGATGCCAACCAGTGCTGCTGCTTTCTCTCCGTGCTGCTAAAATCCTCTGGTTCGCAAATTTTAAGGCCTGATGTGGTGGAAAGAGCTTGCCGCTTTTCATCTTCTCTACAGTTCCGTCTTCAGCAGCTTGAGCGCTTTCTTCATGTTGTCACTCACTAATAGAAGGGAAATTAAGAATCAAGATGTGACCAGGGACTGTTTTGGTCATGTTGGTCACTCTTCAAACCTGGGAGCTTTATTCATTGTTTAATGTGTTTTGTCTTTGTTTTTCTCATGGGATGAACAGTTGGTAGTCATTTCCCCCCTAAGATTATGCAAAATAGATTTTGTTGTATGCAGACATCTTACCTTTCTCATTCATTCCTAAATTGTCTTCCATGCCCCTTCCTCTAGAATAGTTTTCTTTAAAAACGCCACTAGCAGAAAAGAATTTTGACTGTTTGAAGAGTAAATTTTAAGTCATAAAAGAAATATCGGCTCGGTGTCTGTAAGGACTACCACGCATTTTGGAAGTAGGTGAAGCATAAGTTATACGTGACAGCAAACCAAGCACTTTACACATACGACTTCAGTGAGTCCTCACAAAATGATCAATAGTTTATGTTACGAATGTTGAAATAAATACAGGGACGCTTGCTCCAGATACCACTGCTAAGAAGTGGTGGAGCTACTGCTGCACGGCCCAAACTACTGATCACTATTCTATCTGGAGCATATCATTAAAATGATCCATAGGATTATTAAGATAAGATGTCCATGTGATGAGAGCGCACAGACAGCGGTTTATTCCTTCCATTTGTTATAGTTATTCTACCAGGCACTATGGTAGCACCTGGGCAAGACAGCTGATTTTAAGGAGTCTAGAGTTTTATGAAGACATTTGCTACTATCTGGAGCATGGCTACTACTTGGAAAGTGAGGGACCCTAATCCTCCCAGCACCCCTTGTAGACATTGCTAATGAATATTGCTAATTGACAGTATGTTCTGTTGCCTGACACAACCTCACCCTCCTGCCCAACACAAGGTTCTGAGTCTGCTGCCCAACAGAAATTTTAGGGATGATGAAAATCATCAGTGTAGGTTGGTGAGCACTTCACGTGTGGCTCATGTGACCAAGGAATTTTGAACAGGCACATGTTACCGATGGCTGCCAAATTAGAGAGCACAGTTCAAGGTGGACACTATCACTATTAAAATTATCTCAATTGCTTCCTAGGATGAAACAAAATGTTCTTCCCAAGGGGACTAATCAGATGCCACATTGGGTACCTTCTCTGCCTTAAATCTCCAACTGGTTAAGAACTCAGCTGCTAGCCAAAAGGTCGATGGTTCGAACCCTTCTCAGGAGAAAGATGTGTTTGCTTCTATAAAGATTTACAGCCTCTGAATGTTAGAGCTCCATTCTCCTCTGTCCTAGAGGGCATCAGCGTCATCAATTCAATGGCAGTGGGTTTACTTGGGAAGTGATGGCAACGAGTGTTGGGTATGTCATGGAAAGTGGGTGGCCAACTATTTCCATTGATTTTTAAAATTTAACTTCAAAACGTTGAAGTAAATCATTTGTAGACTACAACAACATTTGCACTCATTATTGGGTCGGATTTCTGCTACTTTGCCTAAGAAACAGCTTGAAAAGCCGCTGTGCTTATGTAAGGTCATAGAAGTCCTTTAAAGGAGAAGGTGCCTAATCTAAATCATTCGTCTTTGGTGGAGGGCCAGTGTGACTTGCCCAAGGACATAGACTACTGAGGGTCAAATGGAGTCTCTCATGTCCCAGAGCAGTTTTTTCTAGCCTTTCCGATTGGCCTCTTACTTCCATGACTACCGAATGGGACTGCTCAAAGGAGAGAAACTTACATAGTGCTGCATCGGAAGGCTCATAAGCATAGAGACGGTTTGAGTATCTTCCAGTGATGTCAGCTCTCACAGTCAGGGATGGATCTGCAAAGAGGGCAACAGGAAATGAAGGGCTTTGTTTCCAAGTAGCCCCCTGGAACACAACAAAGCTTACCTCCCCTGGTCCAGGGGGAGGGCACTGTGTCCCTTCGGTCCAGACTACTCCATCCCTTCTGCTCCCCTGCCTCCACAGCCCTAGTAGCTAAAGCAAGCCGAGAACATTCGACAGCTGCATGGTGCTATTTGTGAAGAACATTATGTATGAGTCCTACTGTTCTCCCATCTATAGCAACCTGACAACAGAAAAATTTGGATTGGGGCTAGGGAACTTGGTTGGATGGTTTTTTTTGGTGAAAATCTTGGCATTCTCTACTACAGGATTATTTTAAACTCTTAAGTGATTATACTGTAGTTGATATGTGTTACCAAGAGCAACCTAGATGATTAGGAACACACATCCAATGCCGGTCTTTAAAATAAAAGGGCTTTTAAAGAATTAAAGAACCCAATCCCTTAAGAATAGCAAAGATCAAATAACCATGTTTTGTCCTTCTACTTTTTTTCTTATTAACGGGCTGCATTTTAGAAAATAGAAACTGCCCTTGCATGTGCTTAGATTTCTCTAACTTAAAATCTATTTTTACTTTAAAAAATTATTTTATTGAGGGCTCGTACATTTCTTATCACAGTCCATACATCCATCCATTGAGTCAAGCACCTATGAACACCTGTTGCCCTCATCAATCTCACAACATTTGCCCTCTACTTTGCTCGTTTTCCCCCTCCCTCCCCCCATTTTTACTTTTATGTTTAAGTTTTCAAATTAATGAAAAGGGGGTTAAAAATAAGGTACATGCTATAAGAGCTGTAAGAGCCCCCAATAAAATGATTTAAGGTACATGTATCGGTATGTATATGTGTATGTGATTTTGTTTTTAGAAAGTGTATAAAAAAATAAGGTGCACTAAAGGATGAGTATGAGAGGAGAAGTATCAGACTGGAAGAATATTACATTTTTTTTCCTTTTGAGAGAAGAGAAATGCTTGAAGAAGCCTAATAAGGCCATGTATCCTGGAAGTGCGATGAGCCGTGTGGGGAAGGTTGGCTGAGGACCCAGAGAGACACCTTTTGTTTGATAAGGCAGCTTTGGGTTTGGGGGCCTCAGCACACGCACTTAGACCTAAGGCCTACGAGGAGGCTTCTGGGCCGTGGATACAATGACCCGATTGGATCTTTGTAATGAATCAACACTAGACCTTTACTGCCCACCTAGTGAGTCACAAACCTGGCTGCACATGGGAATGACCTGAAGAGTCTTAAAAATCCTGAAACCTGGGCCCCGCCCTCTTTCCCCTGGTTCTCCCAGTCTGCCGGGTCTGCAATATGCCCGGGGTGGTAGCATTTGAAAACCCTGCAGGTGATTCTAATGTACAAGCTGAAAGGAGAACTACTGAGTTAGGGCAGGCTGCCTGAAAGCCAGTTCTGAGGACTGAAGGCCTGGGACGTGAGTTACAAGGTTCTCAGACAGGGAGACTGTAGAACCAGTACTTGACATAATTGGATTTCGACGCGAAGTGTCGAGAACGTTTTGCATCGGAGCTTGAACAGAATTTAGAATCCGACCCGATGCACGTGATTTTTGTAAACAAAAGCAGCTGGTGTTTCGGTCGCTCAGCGTTAGTTGGCGTTGTTAGTACGTGTTGTTTAAACCTTTTGCAGCTGTGTTCCAAGCGTTTTGCTCTAACTTTCTTATGTTTTGTGGCTTTTTGTACTGTTTTTGGATTTAAAAAAAAAGGGTCCTAAAGAATTTTTTGAAAGGAATCATCAGGATAAAGAACTGGTTAATCGTGTTGTCAATATTGTTGATAATTTAGTAAACCCTTTTAAAAAACAGGTGAAGAGACGCCAACAGCAGACCACGCTAGTCAGATTTTTTTTTTTTAAGAGAAAGCCAGTCAGGTCCTATTGATAAAAGGCAAAGAAGGGAAAAACTCTTAAAAATCAACTACCAGTGGATTTTATGGAAGAGGCTTCCTCTTCCAAACAATGACTCTCTCTCCACCCCTCCTCTCCACATCCAGTCCACGGATCCAGATCCTCATCAATCTCAAGGTAAGGACCATACTGTAATTGTTAAAAACTTTTTAATGTTGTGTTTCTTATTTAAATTATATCACAACTCTGAACTTATTTACTTTGACATTTTGGTGTACTGTTTTGTATAAAAAGGCAAGGTTAAGGTAAAAACTTGGCGGGTCGAGAATGGATTAATCTGTTTTCAGTTATTTCTTATGGGAGAAATTGATTCGGAACTCGACTGCATCACATCTCGGTGCTCCTAGAACAGATCAGTGTTGAGGTCCGGGGTTCTACTGTGCTATATACAAAGAATTCCTACACAGGATGTAACCAGATGATTTCTAAAGTCCTTTTAATTTAAGAATTCTAAATGTTCTAAAGGAGTACCTGGGTGGTGCACATGATCAATATGCTCAGCTGCTCAAGTTAGAGGTTCAGGCCCACTCAGAGGCACCTTGGAGGAAAGGCCTGGATGTCCAAATCAGCCATTGAAAACCTTATGAATCGCAGCTCTATCTTCCTAAGGCTGAGTAGGCACAACACCTCCTGGTTACTGGCTAAATGGTCTAAATCTTAACAAACCTCAGTCTATTATTTAGTATTATTAAATAATAGATTAACATTAATATTAAATAATAGAAAGCACTATTAAATTAGTGCTTTTGATAAGCCTTCTTTCCCCCTTTCACTTGCTTTTCTATCCCATATTACACGTATAATTAAGCACATGAAGCAAACAGGTGAGCTACTTGACTAGTATGAGTTCTGCTATGTGAGCAATTAAATTATTGATTGTCCTGAAAATTATTGTGATGTCTATCAAAGCCAAGTTTGAGTTATTCATTCAGCCATCCCACAAATATCTATGGAGAGGCTACTTAGCACAATGCCATGGTGGGAATATCATGGTGAGCAGCAAAAGATACGGTCCCGGAAGTTAGAGGGTCATGGAAGATAAGTACACTTCAAGGATTTATTAATTGCTCAATAAATGCAACCTGCTACATGAGGAAAGTGCTACCAGTGTAAGAACATGGGGTTCCCAGAGCATGCAGTGTGGCACTGACCCAGTGAGTGAATGACAGCAGGAAAAGCTGCCCGGCAGAAGGAGCCCAATGGAAAGTACCAGAGGCCAGAGGAAGCATGGGACGGCTCCTTTACCTTTTTTATGTTTTACCTCATTTTAACAAAAACATGTTAAAAATGTCAAGAAGAAATTCCAGCATATATGTTGAAACATGGCCTCATTAAGAATTAATACTTTGAGATAGGACATGTTCAGGAAAAATGATGAACACATTCAGGGAGTTAAAAAGGTTCCATTGAATTGTTAACCACAAGGTCAGTGGTTCTAACCTACCAGTTGCTTCTCAGGAGAAATATGAGGCTGTCTGCTCTTGAAACCAAAAAAAGGGCAGTTCTACTCTGTCCTGGAAGCTTGCTGTGTGTCTGAATTAGCTTTATGGTGGAGTGCTTTCTTAAAGATAGTAGCAATTGAAAGAAAGAAACTAGCAGTTGAGGGGGGGAAAAGTCATCCATGGAAAAAGATAGTAGAATATAAATAAGTTGTGAAATTTAAAGAAATGTTATACTTGTACTAGAGCTTAGTAGTTAAGTTGGTCAAGGTGAAGCAGTGGGTGAGAGGAGAAGGGCAGAGGAAGGGAGAGGGTGCTGCTGGTTTCTTTCTTTTCTTAAAAAAATCATTTTATTGGGGGCTCATACAACTCTTATCACATTCCATACATACATCAATTATGTAAAGCACATTTGTACATTCCTTGCCCTCATCATTCTCAAAACATTTGCTCTCCACTTAAGCCCCCGGCATTAGGTCCTCATTTTTTCCCCTCCCTCCCCGTTCCCCCCTCCCTCATGAACCCTTGATAATTTATAAATTATTATTTTGTCATATCTTGCCCTGTCCGATGTCTCCCTTCACCCACCCCTCTGTTGTCTGTCCCCTAGGGAGGAGGTCACATGTAGATCCTTATAATCGGTTCCCCCCTTCCAACCCACTCTCCCTTTACCCTCCCAGTATTGCCACTCACACCACTGGTCCTGAAGGGTTCATCTGTCCTGGATTCCCTGTGTTTCTAGTTCCTCTCTGTACCAATGTACTTCCTCTGGTCTAGCCAGATTTGTTGCTTGTTTCTTTGACATGTGTTTCACCTCATTGTTACTTCCACTTACCAATGAACATAATCCTGGGCACATATTGACCATCAGGGGAAAGGTGCTTGTCAGTTGTTTCATACTAAGATTAAAAAAAAGAAAAAGGAAAAAAAGTCATTTTTTCATATATTTACTTTAGTTATTTTAAAACTGGTTACTTCAGAAAACCATCTAGTGTTGGGCTGGGAACCTCAAGGTACCTTAAGGCACATTTTATCCACAAAGAATTTATACTATAGATGGAAAAGTAGAATGTGAAGAAGAGCTGAATGTATGTGCTAAAGAACAAAACCTTTCAGAAGGGAGAAATGGGCAGGAGGAGCCTGGGTGCACTCTTGTTTAGTGCTCAATTGCTAACTGATCCGTCAGCAGTTCGAATCCACCTTGTGAGAATGACAGCTCCCTTCAGTATGTCTTAAATACATACATCAGTATGACAGCCTTGGACACCTTATGGGACAGTCCTACTGTGAATCAGAATGGGCTCAGAGTTGATGGGGTTTTGTTTATAATGTGAGGAAGATATCTTGAATGAAGTAGAAATGAGATCAATTAATTAAAAAAAAGAGAAATATTAGGTTTGGACAAATTCCAATAATAGGATTACCTTGAACATCTCTCTATACATTTATCCATGCTTCTTTTAGCATTTCAAGAATGTACTTGGCAAGATACAGTGTTGATGTTGAATGAATGCAGTCTATTGGAAGATCCATGCAGAAAAATTAACATCGAGGATCCATGGGTGAAATAGAATAAAGTATGTGAAAGTGCAGTGGGCAACAAGAACAGGGCCTGGGACCTAGTCTGCAGGTTCCAGTAAGACTTTCTGAAGTGGGTAAAGTTAAGAAAAAAGCAATAGGCATCAGCCACGTGGAAAGGAAGAAGGCTCCTGCAGGCAGGAAAAGAGCGTGCCCTGAGGCACCCGGAGAACAAGCTGAGCACTTTCTGATAGGACCAAGTGCTGGAAGGACTGCAGTGCAGCGCACGTGATGAGGGCAGTGGTGGGAGAAGGTACGGTACGGAAAGCTGCTTCTAGGAATGGCCTTGCACACAGGCCACAGGGTTTCCATGCTCCCAGAAGCAGTTGAGCACTGCCAAGGGGACTTCAGAAGACACAATGATTCCTGCTCCGTCTTTGCAGTAATTACACTAACAGCACCTTGGGGATTCTGTGGGGTTTATCTTATAGAAATGAAACCATTCAGTAATACTGCAGTAAACTAGGCTAAAGTGAAAATGCACAACATTCAAATAGTGGGTCTCAGCCTACAAGGAAGTGACTGATAGCAGGAATGTCCAGAATTTAGAAGCAAAGGGCTTCTTGACCGGTTGGCCACTGCCGCTGGCCAGGAGTCTAGTGCAGAATAGGGTCGCTTTTAGTGAGAAAGGGAACAGTGAACGCCGAGCCATCTGAAAAGCCTGGAGCACGAGAATGTGCTTAGTGTTGAGGAGCATGTTGGGTTGAAGCTGCTGATGGGGTCTCTGGAACATGGGGCACACAGCCCAGATGGGGTTGAGGTTTGGGTAAGAGATGGAAGTTATCAGTGTGTTTGTATTGATTCACTGTGGGTGTTGAGGAGCATGTTGGGTTGAAGCTACTGATGGGGTCTCTGGAACATGGGGGCACACAGCCCAGATGGGGTTGAGGTTTGGGTAAGAGATGGAAGTTATCAGTGTGTTTGTATTGATTCACTGTGGGTGTTGAGGAGCATGTTGGGTTGAAGCTACTGATGGGGTCTCTGGAACATGGGGGCACACAGCCCAGATGGGGTTGAGGTTTGGGTAAGAGATGGAAGTTATCAGTGTGTTTGTATTGATTCACTGTGGGTGTTCATCAGGCTGTCCAGAGAGAACATAAATTATAAAGCGAGAAACACATCAAGGACAGCTTCACCAAGTCAACAACATTGCAGGGAGGAAAGGGGAAGAGAAGCCAGGGGAAGGGAAATGAGGAAGACCTGCCAACTGACGAGGAAGAGGCAGGAACAGAGAGGGGGAAAGAGAACATAAGGTTAATGCACTTGACTTCTTTTATGGCTTTAGCCTTTTAGGAGGAAAGTTAAACCTGGTTTTATACAGAATAGGAAAAAAGCATGCAGAAAAAAAAGCCTTAAAATTAGTTACAGTTAGATGCAGACAGCCGGAGAACTGCCTCTTCTTTGGAGAGAGGAGACAAGGGGTTAGAATGGGCTTGGAGCAGCTGAGCACTGTAGGAGGAGCATAGGACATTTGTGCATGAGGCCTGATATCTACACATTTTCCTATTGTTACAGCAACAGGGAGAATTCTGATCACAGGGAAATAAGTTTCAGAGACCCTAAAATGATCAATTACTAAATAAAAGTGTAGACGTGCAAGGTAGATTAAAAACATACAATAGCCTTTCTGTTTCCAGTCTCTGAGATGGGGTATTGGAAGCAAGCCCACGTGATGCAGCAGGACGAAGGTGAAGGCACAGAGGCGTAGACGACTAGACCCCTCCATTTCGACAGTGACGCGTGGGCAAACGTCAATGATTACAAGCAGCTAACTTACCACTAGGTTGAGAAGGACAAACTGCTCCGCCAACTTTTGGATTTCTTTATTTTCAGCAAACACTTTCTTTAAAGCTATGGGGAAAATGAAAGGCATCACATACTCCAGCATCATCATTTAAAACCATGGTTCTCTGTATTATGTTAAGTTGAACTCAATTTTCATACACGATTCTACGTTTCCCTTTCAGTGACATGGTACCTCTGTCATAAATTGACTGCTTTTTTTTACAATCCCTCATTTTTCTATTCAACCACTTCCTACTTTTCTTTCAGTCCCTCTTCACTCAATGGCTATTATGTGGTGGGCACTGTTCTCTGAACTCGGGTTCAAGTGAAAAACAAACAAAACAACATTGGCCTTTCCGCATAGGACTGAAACCCTTGTGTGGAAGAAAGACCATAAACAAGTGAACAAATAAATACACAACAGTTTCGGGTGCAGGATATGTAGTCTGAGGAAAAATAAAACAAAATGAGGGGTCTAGAAACTATGAAAAGGCCAGAGAAAGATTTTCCTTATGAGGGGACATTGGAAGGGTGATCCATTCTAAGATCGGGC